GCTATGTGTTGATGGAAAGAAAGAAACATGACCCTAATAGATTTGGATATGACTAAGACTCCAAAGCGTTTTGCTTTACAAAGAGCCACCTCCAGCCCCAGGCAGTGGACTCCTGGGATATTAGAAATCAGAACTTGGTTCCAGATCTGTGTTTACTAAAGATGGTGTATGAAATAGTCCACACCACACTCAACAAATACTGTTTTCCTTGAAACATGGCTCATAATCAGGATTTCCATGTCATGCCCTCATTTCTATTATCGTCGGTCAAATCAAGAACGTTCAGCCCATGGGGCTTTTCTAGTAGCCTTTCAGCTGAGTTTTAATATAGACATTGTGCCCCCATCTGTCCCCAGCACACACCAGACCCACAGGATGTCTAACCTTTCCTTCAAGTGACACAAAGTACTTTGTCCACTGGCTGGGAGGGAGCTGCAGCTCCTGAGGGCTCTGTCATATTTCTGAGCATGGAGTTCAAGGTCTGCATTAAAATTGATCAAATCAGTCTCTGCCTGTTTTAAATTGGTTCTTTTTGGCCACCAAGGATTATTGGACTGTAGATTTGTGTTTCGTTTCCTTTTCCAAAGGTTATTGGAAGTTATTGGTGACTGTCTATCTTGTAGATGTAATGGCCATGCATCTTTGCATCGTATTTCAGTTCTCATAAACAGAAGTCTCAGCATTAGACTTGTGTTACTCAGAGCAAATCCATTGCTTGTTAGAGTGAAGCACAGAGGAAGGGGAATAGACCTCACAAATGCAAGTGCTACACAAGGTATTTGTGAGAGAGAACAGTTGTGAAGTTGTTTAAAACATGGTCACTATGATTCTTCCCAACGTATTAATTTCTTTCATGTCCTTTTCATTGTTCATTTAAAGCTTTTGGTGGGTTTTCTGCTGCTAAGCCGTACTTAATAAGCAGGAAGAGTATTCCTTTTCATACTAACAGATTAGCTTTAACACTCACTACTGCTATTGAAGTAAATTCTATTCCATTGGGAATCACTCCACTCCTACATTTCCTCCTGTCTTTATCAACAATAAGATCAGGGACAAAATGAAATTGTGGTGTGACTTAGAGAAGTAAAGAGAAACCTCCACCTGAGAGTGGCACACAATGAAATGGAGCTGTTAAACTGATTGAGTTAACCTGGGGCAAAGCCCCAAGTGTGTGTGAGCATGCATTTGGGGCTGAGAGCAGGGTAGGTCACTTTAGGGGAAATGAATGAAGGCAGCATTAAGTTAACTTGCAGCAAGGGTATTCACCCACGGTAGCACCCCAGTGTATGGAACACTGGTTTGCAGGCCAGGTGGTACTGAAGCCATAAAACACCTCCATATAGTTAAGCCAAGTTATATCACCAGCCAGTCACATCTCAGCCACTAGGGAGTTAAATTCAAACTCCTTTTTCAAGCTTAAATATAACTGTTCTTTAAATAATTCTTTACTTTGTAGGTATGTGATTTATATCCTTTAAGGAAAGGAAATTACTCAAGAGGATAGAAAAAATAGTACATTAAATGAAGACAAATACATCGGGTGCTTGTGATCCAGCAAACGTGCTGCTGGGGTTCTAGTCAGACCTGGGTTTCACTCTCAGCTTGCCTTTGACTTGCTGCATTACCTGAGGTAAGTAGGAATGTAGGCACCCATCCTGGGGGGCCACAGCTGGATGCCTGGAGTGCATGTCAGAGGCAGACCTGGTGGTTAATCTGAACATAGGAGACTGAGAGTGAAAATATTAGCTCTAGTCTCACTGAGACTTTTGTTCCCCACCAGGAAAATGGATATAATAATAAAGAACAGGATTGAGAATGATTTATGAAAAAAAACCAACCCCACATAATCTACACACACATGTGCATGTGCACACACAACTCCCCAAGGTCTGACCTAACAGGTCCAGCTGCATTTGATCCCCTGCTGAAGGATGGTTAGCTTGCTCTTAAAGATCTCTGCTCAGAGAGTTCACAGTCTTACTAGGCACATGGATAAAAGGGAATGCTTCCAACATTGGTTTTGACTGACTGCCTCATAAGAGTTTTATATTTGAACGATAATCTACATATTTCTTCATATGCACATTGCCAGATCCCGGTATTAACTTTGCCGGATGTTGCAGAGAGGATATGCTAGGAATACACAGAGCTCTGTATTTCTCATGATTTTCACTCAGAGACTAGGATTTTCTTTAATCCTAACCTATATTTTAAAGGAACTGCCTAGTTCATTCACGTCCTCTGTTAGCATTGCAGCTCTTCAAAGTAGGTGACCAGCCACATTCAGATTTTCTCTTGGGAGATAATAAAAAAATTTAATTCAGTTGTAACTTTTGCAAGTCTTGTGGCTTCATCCAGTGGACAGGAAAGCCATGGGGGGTTGGTTTTATTTAGCACCAGGCAAACTCAGTCCCAAGGGTGCTCCCTAAGCACAGAAGAGCTGTGTACTATCTCCACAGGCAGGGCTGGGGTTAGAGTACACCTGGCCAGCAGTCTTATCACTCCCAGGTATGGCTGGGAGCTCTGGGATCCCAGCTAACCCCAGAGCCCTCCTCAAGCCTGTATGGAAAGACAAATTTCCTTTGCTATTTGGAGAAAAAGAGTTTGTTATGGGTTTCATGTTTCTGGTGCTCCCTGTAGAAAATAGAGAGCTTTGGCTCTCTTGTTGCATGCTTGGCTCTCTCATTTTGCCTGACCTTGAAAGAGGGACCATCCAATGATTTTGGGAAGCAGCAGAGGGGGTTTAAGACTTGCACTGCTAACAGAAGGAGCACTGCTACTCTTTGGAGTGGCACAAACCCAGTCTTCTCTGTCAACTGCTGTTAGGACATTTTGCCTGACCTTGAAAGAGGGACCATCCAATGATTTTGGGAAGCAGCAGAGGGGGTTTAAGACTTGCACTGCTAACAGAAGGAGCACTGCTACTCTTTGGAGTGGCACAAAACCCAGTCTCCTCTGTCAGCTGGTGTTAGGATTTTATCAGTGCTGCAGCTTTCTTTCAGGATACCAGGTAGAAGCATCGGCTCTGTTGCCTGGGCTGCTCCTGACAGGGCTGCAGCACGAAGAGATTCCCACCATGCTGGTTATTTGCAGTCATGGAGTGTGCTCGAGGTAAACTGGTGAAAACAGCTGCTGAGAGCCTTCACAGAGAATCCAGTTCCTTTGCACAGTGACAGCCACAGCACAGACAGGGGCAGCTGCATCTTTCTCAGTGCTGTCCTGCCTCATATTCCCAAGACAGCTGTCTTTTCAAGCCATGTCCCAAAGGCACAGTGTCCTACTCCCTCAGCCTCCTGCTCCCAGACCTAGGCCTCTCTGGTTTTCTCCATCTCTTCCCCTCTTCCATCCCTCTATTCTCTCTCGGTGTTTGCCTCAGAGAGGATTTTGTTCCCCTCTCAGTTTTGCCTCTCCTACTGCTGAAAAGTGTGTTCCCTCTCTGTGGAGTCTATTCCTTTTCTTTCAATCCTTGTCTTTTTTCCCTCTCTCCTACCACCTTTAGTCCTGTCTTCTCTTGTCTATGTGACTGAAACTTCTTGTTAATTTTCCTTTTCCTCGCTCTGGCTTTCAAATCTGTGTGTTTTTATTTCACCTATCCTTCCTCTGTTCATCCATCTTCTGTCTCCTACTAATTACCTCCATCTTCTCCAGCTTTCCCAGTTGTGTGGTGAGGTCCAGATAGGTCCTGTGTGGGTCTCTGCAGGAACTCAGGTGATGGCTGGCAAGTTGCAAAGATGGTGAGTTCAGTGATTTCACCAGCACGTAATGACTTTGTTTTACCATCTCTGCAGAGGGCAGCTTAGTCTTGTCCACACCTCTGTAATTCAATAGTGCTGGCAGCACACCTGGCAGTGGAGGTGGTGCCTGTGGCTTATCCCTTGGGCTTTGCCCTGCCTCCAAGGTGCAGGGCTTCTGTGTGAATCACAGCATCACAGAATGATTTGGGTTGAAAGGGACCTCAAAGATCATCTCATTCCAACTTCTCTGCCTGTGGCAGAGACACTTCCCACTAAACCAGGGTGCTCAAAACCCTATCCAGCCTGGCCTTGAACACTTCCAAGAGCAGCCACAGCTTCTCTGGGCAATTTAGTGTCTCACCCTGCTCACAGTGAAAAATTTCTTCCTAATATACAATCTAGCTCTAACCTCTTTCAGTTTAAAGCCATTCCCCCTTGTCCTAGCATGCCATTGGAAGATGCATCTTACTTGTAGATCCCCTTCAGGTACTGGAAGGTTGCTACAAGATCTCACTGGAGCTTTCTCTTCTCCAGGCTCAACAACCCCAATTTTTCCAGCGTGCCTTCACAGGAGAGGTGTTCCAGCCCGCTGATCCTTTTTGTGACTTTTCCCTGGACTCTCTAACATCCTCCCAGTGTTGGAGGCCTCAGAGTTTGCCCCGTACTCCAGGTGGGTTTTGCAACAACAGAGCAGAGGGGCAGAATCACATGCCTTGACCAGATGCTAATAATAGCCCCTAAGTCCCAAATGATGAGATCTGCATCTAAATCTACCCCTCCTTAGAGGGATGCACATGAACTATAAATATCATTCATGTCACCTGTAGTTCACCGAGGACAGTAAATAAAATAAGCAATGAAAACAGCCAGCCCTGTTCCTGAGCTCCCCTAAGGCCAGATAGGATGTGGAGACCAGCTGGCCTTGTAAGCTGGTACAGGGTGTTTGTGCTAGACAAAGAGTGAGCTGAGTGGGCAGGAGCCAGTGTTTGGAAGAAGCTAGCCATGATACTGTATGGACAGCCTATGCTCTGTCTGGTGGACAGAGACCTTTAGTCTCCAAGGCTGCCAAGGTAGAAACTTCAACTATCAACCTATATCTTTTTGCAAGGTATCAAAACCAGAGTTTGATGTTCAGCTGCCAGATGGAGTGGTTTGGTTTTTAGTTTGTTTTTTTCTTTTGGGGGGGTGGGAATATATATATATATATATATATATATATATATATATATCCTTGGACAGAAAATAAATCTCAGTGACAGGAAATAAATGGAGGGCGCCGAGTTGTCACTTTTAATAGACCGTGAAAATGACGATTTCTCTCTGGGTCACCTCTGCAGCCCCACGAGTTTCCCCTGCCCTGGCCACTGTGACCTCAGAGCTGAGGGGGTCTCGAAGAGAGCAGGGGCCTCAGCCCAGTGCCGTGCGGTGCTGTGCGGTGCGGTGCTGTGCTGTGCCGTGCTGTGCGGTGCCGTGCTGTGCGGTGCCGTGCTGTGCGGTGCCGTGCTGTGCGGTGCCGTGCTGTGCGGTGCCGTGCTGTGCGGTGCCGTGCTGTGCGGTGCCGTGCTGTGCGGTGCCGTGCTGTGCGGTGCCGTGCTGTGCGGTGCCGTGCTGTGCGGTGCCGTGCTGTGCGGTGCCGTGCTGTGCGGTGCCGTGCTGTGCGGTGCCGTGCTGTGCGGTGCCGTGCTGTGCGGTGCCGTGCTGTGCGGTGCCGTGCTGTGCGGTGCCGTGCTGTGCGGTGCCGTGCTGTGCGGTGCCGTGCTGTGCGGTGCCGTGCTGTGCGGTGCCGTGCTGTGCGGTGCCGTGCTGTGCGGTGCCGTGCTGTGCGGTGCCGTGCTGTGCGGTGCCGTGCTGTGCGGTGCCGTGCTGTGCGGTGCCGTGCTGTGCGGTGCCGTGCTGTGCGGTGCCGTGCTGTGCGGTGCCGTGCTGTGCGGTGCCGTGCTGTGCGGTGCCGTGCTGTGCGGTGCCGTGCTGTGCGGTGCCGTGCTGTGCGGTGCCGTGCTGTGCGGTGCCGTGCTGTGCGGTGCCGTGCTGTGCGGTGCCGTGCTGTGCGGTGCCGTGCTGTGCGGTGCCGTGCTGTGCGGTGCCGTGCTGTGCGGTGCCGTGCTGTGCGGTGCCGTGCTGTGCGGTGCCGTGCTGTGCGGTGCGGTGCGATGCTGTGCGGTGCGCTCCGAGCCCCGGGGCCGCACGGGCGGCGCCGCTTGCGGGCAGGCACCGTCGGGGGGCAGCAGCCGCCAGCGCTTGGCAGCGGCGCCCCCGGAGCTGCCCGCGTCCTCCCGGCTGCCGGGAGCCGCACCTGATCCCCACGGCCCGGCTGCGCTCCCAGCGCCCTCCGCACCGGGATGCGCGGCGGTGACGCTTTAACATGCAGCATATGCATCTCATTTCCCTATCCGCCGGGCTGTTTGTAAACCTAATTTAAGCGAAGTCGCTCCCTGCTCTTATCGTTTCGCATCACTCCGAAGGAAAGGGTGGGAGGGGGGGAAATGAAATCAAATAAGAGAGGTGCCAGCACTGCACTTTTCCCCCTTCCCCTTCTAGTAAAATAGCTTTGTAATCATTAATTTGCAGCATAGGAAGGACTTGGCACCCTTGGGTGCAACCTTTATGTCTTTTAAGGCTAGTGTCAGAGAGGAAAACTACTTTAGGTTTCCTGGAAAGGGATGAAGGAGACTGGGTAGCAGATGTACTTCCAGCTGGGATCCATCACGGTCCTGCTTTGGTAGGGAGAAGGGCCTGCCTGACTGAAGGGCTGTGCTGAGCTGCTCCAAGGCTGGGGTGGCAGCAGGCAGTACACAGCGGGAAGCAGTGGGATTTTGAAGAAGTGCACCATTTCTTCCAAGTTATTAAAAAGTGTAGTGTGTTTTGTTTGCAGATTAGTTCAGTTTGTTTGTTTATGACAATACTCACAGCTATTATCAGGGAGCAGGAGAAGCAGCCTATGGTGTCCCAGCAAGTAAAACCCATGAAATTTGATTAAATTTTACAGTCAGAAAGGTAAAATATTTTACCTCCATAAATTCCTACCAAAGTAGTTTTAACCAGCTACAGGTTTTTCCCTGTCATTCTTCCCTGCTGAGATGCAGCTTTGCTGTTTAGTGTTTAACAGCTGCTCCTGCAATACAAAGGAGGGTTTAGTTTTCATCCTAGGTGAAGAACTGCTTTTCTTAATATTTTTTTTCTTTGTTTGTTTGTTTCTTATCATGATAAAAGTGGTAGGAACTTTTAGAGATAGAAAAAGGCCATGGCAGTTTTTGCAGGGAGTTTAGAGCTTGCTCTTCTGAAGGATGCCAGAAGACTGACAGTAAGAAGAATGAGAGGGCACATTTCATGTGTGCCTTTGTAGTTTTCTATTCAGTAATGTCAGTGTGTTTGGAGGAGCAGAGAAATGCTCTCAGGAGTCTGAGAGGAGACCTTGCAAAGGCAAACATCTCATCGAAGGAGAGACTGGTAGAATGGCAGGAACAGCTTTGCAGAAGGGATGAGGAAATCGTCTTTGGTCAGAGGAGCCTTTTGGAAGAGGCAAAAGGCTGCTCAAGAGGCTTCAGCAAAGCTGCTCCTAGAAAGCTGAGTGAAGACACAAGTGGGTGGCACATGGGTTGTCATGGGAAGGGCAAAATGTGTCAAATGGACTGGAGAGGGGAAAGAGAACTGGTAAAGAATGGTTTTGGAGGTGTTTGAGCATAAGGATGAGAGAGAGGATAATGGCAGCAGCATCTTGTATACACTGAGGCTCAATGAGTTTTGTGGTCAAAGTTCAAGGTAGTACAGGTCCAGAGATGGGTTTGTTATCTTGTATACATTCTGAGGGGTCTGCATCAGGGCCTTTTTCATACAATGAATGCAAATATCTCTCCAGAGGCAGCTTGGAGATGAGTACAACTATTATTCAGCCTATAGTAGATGTCCATTGAAACTGTCTGGCAAAAAAAAGAAAGATGTTAAAAATTTGGTATGAAATTTCCATGCAATATTTTCACAGCAAATGTGTGCTTTTCATGGGAAGGAGCATAAATATTTCTCATCATAAAAAGAAAAAAAATAAATTTTGACATTTGTTTAGTGGGTTGGGCTATTATTTTATTTTTCCTCTTTCTCCCCATCAGCTTGTTTTATTTTTTCTGGCTTTGAGTTTCTCGACATAAAGTCAACATTTTCTCCATCTGGGGACATTTGCTATTCTCTCCTAGCTGTGAACGTATTTATCTGAAATCTCAACTGAGAAGGTCTCTGGATTTTCTTCTCCACTGTGAAGATAGCTACATGAAGCAATTCAAACTTTAGAAATGAGAAAAGCCTTACAATTAGCATTGTTGCATCAGCCTGTGAAATCTCTTCCTAGAGGTGCACCAGTGGTACTGAGAGGCACACATAGCCCCTGTTGTTGTCTGCCTGAGGTAACAACAGGGTCTTGCTGCCCTGCTGGTGAGGAAGCAGGGCCAGCAGGTGCCGCTGGGTGGCTGTTTGGAGCCCCTGTGTGAGGAGCAGCTGGATTTGACAGCACTGGCAGCGCCCTGCACACAGCGATTTGATGAGAGGAACATCTGCTGAAGACAGATAACAGGACAAGAGGATCCTGCAGCCTTGATGAACTCAATCTTCAAGCTAGTGTTTGCAACACAGTGGGTTCTAGTTCATCTACTTTCTTCTCTAGAGAGGTGAACGGTGCTTATGGACGCCCTGGAAGCATTCTCTATGGATTAACCCACCGGGAAGCTGTTTGGCAAGAGGAAGCTAGGTCTGGCTGCAGCTCAGAACTCACCCATGTTACTTCATTATGAGAATGTTAACTATGAAGTAATTACCCATCTTTCTTGGGTAACAGCAGAACACAGGGAGATGCTGCACTGTAGCCATTTTCCTAATTGTGTCTGGTGGTCATCCTTCAGGAAGGAGTGAGGACAGCAGTTCTTACCCTTCACAAATGTCCATTGGCGTATTCCCATCCTGCCTCTATACAGGACAAAATCAACTGGACATCACTCTGTTCTTTCCCCAGTCCATTGTGCTGCTCTGGACAGCTTAACCCACCCAGTTAGATTAACTAGGTTGATTCCCCCAAGGGCTGAGGGAACAGAGGGAGAAATTCACTGTGGATATTGGTTCATATTTGAAAGTGAATTTTCATTCAGAACAGAGCCACGTCAACATGACTGCTGCAGCTAAACCAACCAAGCATTGAATTGAGACTATTCATAACAAACTGTCCATGAATGGCCTGCAGGGCAAAAACTATCTGCAGGAGAAATTCATGGGCGATTTTGGCTAATGAATGAATTTGGGAATTTGGCTTGCAGTTTGCAGACAATGCACAAATAGAAAAAAAGAAAGCCATATGAAACTTATTGAATACATGATTTACAGTGAAATATTTGTTCAGCTCTAATCTCTGAAACATGTATGGTTTATGGTGTTAGAAAGCATTTTAGGATTAGCTGTGGGAGCTATATGTCAATGAACAGTTTGTGAAAAAACCCTGTTCCGTTCAGAACAAATACATGGAAAACTGCTAATGTCACCTGCTGCAGAGGGAGCCTGGTAAAGAGCTCATGCTTGGGAAAGGACACTTGGATGCCAGTAGTATCCCTGGGCTCTTCAGAGGAGAAGTTAAGGCTGGAAATCTGTTGTTTTTGCTGATTGCAGTAACTGGGAACAAAATATGGGGCGATGACCTGTGTGGGGCTGCCATTTAAGAGTCATTTTGCTTCTGCAATTATATTCTTTGAGAGACTGAGCTGTGATCAATTTTCACCAAGGTTGTAAGAAACATAACTCAAACCTTGTTATTTAACAAAGGTGTTTATGTAGTAGAGGTACTAAATGTTCATCTGCCTGGAAGTTCTTTGCAGCTAGGTAGAGTATGACTTTGCCTTTAATCCACAGCATTTAATGCTGCTAATGCTAACATGTCCTGCTGAGAGAACACTAACTCCACCTTGAATGAATATGCTTTCAGGTTCATGTGGAAATGTTCCTAACTATCCTCTCTGGAGGGCCTTCGGATTCTGTTCCACACTGCATTGCCCATTTTGAGACCAGCCTTCTCCTTCTGTGTATGGCCTCTCCTGCTGTGGGATCCCTTTGGCTGGGCCCTATCCATATCTCCAAATGCTGGCCAGCAGCCCTGAGTACCTGTTTTCCCTGGCAAGTGGTATGGAGTGGGACCAGCTCAATGCTTCCACATGACACAGGCAACAGGAACTGCTCCATGCCCCTCCTTTGCAGCAGCAGGAACTGGCTTCACTTTGGCAAAGCTGGAAGTGGAGGTGACTTCTGAAACTCTATTTACAGTGAAATATTTGTTCAGCTCTAATCTCTGAAACATGTATGGTTTATGGTGTTAGAAAGCATTTTAGGATTAGCTGTGGGAGCTATATGTCAATGAACAGTTTGTGAAAAAACCCTGTTCCGTTCAGAACAAATACATGGAAAACTGCTAATGTCACCTGCTGCAGAGGGAGCCTGGTAAAGAGCTCATGCTTGGGAAAGGACACTTGGATGCCAGTAGTATCCCTGGGCTCTTCAGAGGAGAAGTTAAGGCTGGAAATCTGTTGTTTTTGCTGATTGCAGTAACTGGGAACAAAAAATGGGGCGATGACCTATGTGGGGCTGCCATTTAAGAGTCATTTTGCTTCTGCAATTATATTCTTTGAGAGACTGAGCTGTGATCAATTTTCACCAAGGTTGTAAGAAACATAACTCAAACCTTGTTATTTAACAAAGGTGTTTATGTAGTAGAGGTACTAAATGTTCATCTGCCTGGAAGTTCTTTGCAGCTAGGTAGAGTATGACTTTGCCTTTAATCCACAGCATTTAATGCTGCTAATGCTAACAAGTCCTGCTTGGAGAACACTAGCTACACCTTGAATGAATACGCTTTCAGGTTCATGTGGAAATGTTCCTATCCTCTGTGGAGGGCCTTTGGATTCTGTTCCACACTGCATTGTCCCATTTTGAGACCAGCCTTCTCCTTCTGTGCATGGCCTCTCCTGCTGCGGGATCCCTTTGGCTGGGCCCTATCCATATCTCCAAATGCTGGCCAGCAGCCCTGAGTACCTGTTTTCCCTGGCAAGTGGTATGGAGTGGGACCAGCTCAATGCTTCCACATGACACAGGCAACAGGAACTGCTCCATGCCCCTCCTTTGCAGCAGCAGGAACTGGCTTCACTTTGGCAAAGCTGGAAGTGGAGGTGACTTCTGAAACTCATCTGACAGTGGAAATTAGGTAACTCAGAAAATGCCAGTCCAGGACAAAACTGAAAATGTTTCTATTTTGTCTTGGAAACCCTGGACAGCACTTCTGCACTTTCAAGTAATGTGATGACCAGCTGTTTGTTAAGTCCATCCTGCTATTTTTTCCCCCA